GAGCATACTCAACATTTGCGACTGACTGAGTGCTCAGGCTGTCACCATGAATAGCCTGAAATTCCATTTAAACCGGTTCTATTTATAACTCAAATCTAGCTCTGCCTTTACGCCACTGCCTTGATCTGTCCAGTTTTGGGGGCCTCTGGGCGTGCATGCAGGAACTACATGCACACTCTACCAGGCCACCGCACGTCGTTTGCTCATGTGGCCCCTGGTGATTGTGAGTCTATGTCACGCATACCAAACCCTGACTACGACTGGAATATTTTGCTCATAGGCCTATCGCTAGACAATGCATCAAACCGCCGGCTAGCACCTGAGACTCCTGTGCTGGGGGCAAGCCAGGTGGGAAACAGAGAAATCTGCTCTCCTGGAACCGCTTTACCTTTTTATGGAGCTGTCCTGGTGAATAAAATGTGATACGATTAGCCCACCGTGTGTGTTTTATTCTGTCCATAGGTCTTCTGTTCATTAATGCCTAGATGGCATCATCCTACCTGCAGACCCATCAAGCCCCTCCGATGTCTGAAACTTTGTCACTGGAGGCATTCAGGCGTGTAACAGTCAACCACGATCTCCGGATGGGCCCCCCTCTCAAGCTCTGACTGATGACCACACCATTTAATCCAGCACCCACGCCTTGACCACCCTAATTCACCGACTTTCCAAATACTCTCCCACTCGGCCTGGCCATGCCCCACATGGCCTTCTGGATATGAGTTTTTGTGGAGTGGGTGTGTCCAATGTTTAAATACTGTGACTGTTACGAGGTCTGACAAAAGTGTGTCTTCTGTCTGCGCTCAATTTTGTTAACGGGGGGAGTGGGTTAGTGGAGCGGTTCTTTCCTCGCTTTGCATCAATGAGGCCAGGGTTCGAGTCCTGGCTTGACCCAGGCTTTTGGTTTCCAGTCCATACTTGCTCTCTCCGGGTACTCCGGTTTCCTCCTGCTTCTAATACTGGACCTTCTTCCTAAGTCCGTAATGTGGTGCTAATTTAATAAAGTGTATGAATAAACATACAGTTATTGCTGCAAATAGCCTGAGTTGCTGAAAGAGTCAATAAAACAAAACAACAACTTTTGTTAACAGATTGCTTCGGTTGCCTTTTCCAACTACGTCCAGTGTAATCGGAACGAAAAGGCTGCCTTGGAAAGTATTCATTGGTGTTATGTTTTTATTTACTCGTGATCTCTTTTCCAGTGGGTGAATGGAAGTGTTTCAATGCTTCGATGTACATCAAAAGTGCTTTGCTAGGGAGCAGTCTGTAATCTTTGGTTGCTCAACCTGCAATTTGTGTATTTTTGCAGTACATACCGAATGATCTTAATTCCCTGTGCACATAATGTTATGGCTGTAGTCCTTCAACTTCAGGATACAAATGGCCACATCGAACATAGTACCATGTAACAGGGCTCACTTTTCTTTCCTTATTATGAATACTTCAGCATCTATTTACATGTGGGCCCTCCCACTCCATGCCTCCGGGGTCTGAGACCACCCCCTCTGAAGACAAACACAGCAACAAGTTAGAGCTCCAAGCAGTGTTTAATGCTTTTCACCACTTTTCACAACACTTCGTGGGTTGTTTCTTTCGAGTCCAGAGTGACAACTCCACAGCAGTGACGTACATCAACCGCCAGGGCGGCACTTGCTCCCCTCAATGCTGTACCCTTGTGTGGCATCTCTTCATGTGGACGAATGAACAAGAGATCAACCTCCAAGCTGTCCACATAGCAGGAACCAACAACAGCATAGTAGTCATGCTCTCTTGGGGTGCCGTCCAACCAACACGGTGGATTCTTCACCTGAACATGGTCAGCCATATCTTTGCAAAGATCGAGCATCCCCATATTGACCTCATTGCTTCCACCAACAAAGCCTATCTTTCAAAGTTCTGCTCCAGGTTCCCTCACCCACGGACCTGGGCAACAGTTGCCCTACATTTTGACTGGTCGGACCGTCTGGCGTATGCCTTTCCTTCAATATCCCGTGCCTCCTGTTCCAAATAGAATGAGTGCCATGTCTGGTCCTCTTCATCGCCCCATTCTGGCCTCGCCAAACATGGTTTCCGAGACTAACAAGACGTCTGGTACAATGGCCACTGGTCCTTCCGCCCAGGGAGAACATCCTTTGTCAACCCAAGTCGGGGGTCCTCCATCCAGCACTGGGGGGGGTCTTCACTTCACATGCTGGACATTGTCCAATGATCCTTCAGAGCGTCGGGCCTTTTTGTGAACACCACGTCCATGACAGCCTGGGGTTGACGACTGTCCACTCGCAAAATTTACAACAGCCGACTACAGCATTTTACCAAATGGTGCAACAACCACGATGCTTCTCCACCCGAAGCTCCTGTGAGTTCTGTCGCAGACCTTTCATGTGTCTGTCCCACTTGGGCCTCCGGATTGCCTTCATCCGCAATTTCTGGTCGGCCTTGGCAGCCATTCATTCGGGCTTCAGCGATGGAATGACAGTCTCTGATAATGCTGCCCTCCACCATCTTCGTTGAGGAATGTTTGTCGAGCGTCCGTATGTCAAACGCCTCGTTCTATCCTGGGACCTTGGAAGCAGCTCGCACGTTCTTGCCGGTCCTCCCTTCAAGCTGCCTTCTGATGCATCTAATTTCCATCTCAGTATCAAACTGGTGTTCCTCCTTACGGTCATTACATCAAGACACTGTAAAGAACTGCATGCTCTATCGATGGCCGAAGGTCACATTCGTTGGAAGCCACATTGGGTTTGCCTTATCCCAGCCATCAAGTTTTTGACAAAAAGCAGGAAGCCTACCTTCCGGCCTCTTGACATATTTGTTCTCGACACTTTTGGGGTATGACTTTGACAAGATATGGTGTCCAGTTCGTACCCTCAAGTGGTACCTTGCCGGGACCAAGCGTCGCCGAGAGTCTAGCTCTCGGCTCTACATCACAACGACAAAACCCTTCCATGCAGCATCAAAGGACACTATTGCCCAATGGACGGTCTCAGCCATCATCTTCGCGAACAGAGACTGGCCGGCACAACATAATAAGATGTCCCAATCTTGCTTCAGGACCCTCGAAGGTCGAACATAGTGGCGGGACTGCTGTGCATTGTGGAGGGTCAAGGGGCATCATGCATAATCAAGTCTTTCACCGAATTGTAATAGGCACATGAGGAATTTGCATATGTAGGCTGGGTAAGGGCAAGTATCACTAGGAGACCCGACCTCACACTAATGTGGGGAGAAGTTTCTGTTAGGTTTGAATGTGAGAGTTACAAATAAAACAAAAATATTTTTTACCGTTGTGTTTTTGATATCCCTAACGATCTAGAGGAATTTTTGATCCAACAGTAGTTGGATAAAGAACGAAATATTGAATCAAACATGGCTTTCATTAGTCTTTATGGAGTCTGCATAATATTGAGTTGTCTGAATATTATCAGTGGATCACCTACTGGTACTTGGTCATCTTTAGAGCCGGAAATTTAATGGCCACTTTTTGCTTGTTTTGACCTATCAGAGAAAGTCTGCTTTACCAGGCCCCAGAAATAGAAATGTAGAATGTGCATTGTCAACACTTTGGATTTCCTTTGAATTTCTGTGACCTTAAGAAAGACAAAAACAAACATGTACACCATAAAGTAAAACTTACTTTTTGGATACCCAAAAAGCACAGAAGCAAAATAAATTTTTGTTGGGCCCTGCCAACGAAGTCAAAGGGCCATGCTGTTTCTGCTTTTCCTTCCATGGGTGTGTGTGTGTGTGTGGGATATTCTTTTCAGTGTGATAACTCGAGAAATACTTCACTTATGAACTTCAAATCTGGGTTGTGGATTACTCTTGGTGATCCTAAGAAACCTTTTGAATTTGGGTCTGTAAAAACAAAGGTCAAAGTAACAATGTCTAAAACAATAGAAGTCTTGTCAGCACGATAACTTGAGAAATGCTGTGCGTTATAAACTTAAAATTTAGTTTGTGGATTAAATTTCTGAATGAAAGGTTGGAGGTTAAGGTCACAATGGCTAAAACAATAGAAATCACGTCAGGGTGATAACTTGGGAAATATATAGAACAGGAGTTTCAAAATTTGCTTGTACATTGGTTGGGTAAGCCCACAAACCTGTTGCATTAAAGGCTGAAAGGTCAAGGGTAAAGGTCACAATGGCTTTAACCACTTCGGACCGGGGCATTTTTCAA